TATGTAATACAATATAATGACTGCGGGTGGGAGCAGTTCATATCATACATATCTCCGGATCTGATTGCTTTCCTGTATTCACGTAGAAACGCGGAAAAATGCGCCCATATGCAGGTCGTTCGGTGGTCATTTTTAATCTACCCGTGGATCGAACTCTAACTTGATCTAATCGAGAAAATCAAACGCGCTTTTGTACCTCAGAATTTTTTACAGAGAATGCTTATATCATAGTCATTAGAAATATAAATGTAAATATAAATGAGAAAACAAATGTTTATTTTATATAAGAGAGAGAGAGAGAAAGGAAAAATTTTATAGCAACATGTATTATATAAAATATCTACGTAATATTTTTAAACTTTGAAAACTATTCCCACATCATATATATCACTCTTAACATTTCCTATCGCAAACGTTTATATTGTTTTTTTTTGTGGGAAAAAACGAAATAATTTATTTCAGAATATTTCAGATTGTTACGATTGTATCTATGAAAAAATAGCACCCACACGTCAACGAAAGTATTCTGTCGGTAAATTGCTCTTGGGCGTCCTCCAGGACCCCGTATGGCGAAACCATATGCTTTTAAGTCCTTTTATGCTGGCTGAGAGATGACTCTTCCCGACACGCGACCCGCAGCCTAAATACTTAACTCTCGGCGCTTTATATGACCAAGAGAGGATTATCGATAGTCGTGGAATCTTTCGTCGCTATTACATTACACAATTATAGAAATGGGAATATTACGAAAAGATCATTTGAGTTTCATACAAGTTTCATAAAAAATGTATAAAACATATTATAAATTTATAAAACGTAATAATGGGGAATAAAATATTTAGCGAGAAGAATCTCTGTAGAAATATTATGATACAGAAACTATTATAAATAATTTTAATTTAGCAAAACAGGAAAATAATTTTTAATACGTTTCTGACAATATTCAGAGGAATTCGTGCGATTAGTTAAATAAATGATAAAAATTTCACTATGCGAATAAGCACGTTGTACGCAAATATCAATAGAGATAGGAATATAGCGGATACACGCGCAGCGGAGCGAGCGTATTCGCCGAGAGTTAATCAGGATGCGACGTCATCGTTTAAAGCGTCGCGTTTTCTCTCACTTCGAAGGGCGATATCTACACGAGCTCGAAACCGCGCGACCCGCGCTTAGATATCATTTCCACGAAGCGCACTGCATCAATCACAATCCGAAATTTTTCAATTTTTATTCATTACAAAAGCAAAATGTAAAATTCTTATCTTTTCTAAAATATTTTACTCTACTATGATATATAATTATCACACTTGATAAATTATTTTTATAATTATTCAATTTTTCGCTCTCTCTCTTTCTTTAAAACTAATTTAACACTATTCGAAATTAATTATTAATATATTATCGATCGACTTATACTTAATAAATCAACGTTTCCTAATTGCAAAACTGTAATGGATAAAAAATTCAGGAAAAATTCATTGTAATAAGGATTGTAGGAATATTAAAGGTGTACCTCGTCTTTATGCCCGTATTTTTAATAAGCCAGAACGGTGAAACAAGATTCACATGCTGGGTCGTGTGCCAGAAATATCTTCTATACAGAGAAGCATTTTATTCTCACTAGACATGTGAATGGATCCGAATTCTCACGTTTCATTGTGTACGATTTGAGGAGTCCAGTCACAGTATATCCCTGATGATTTGTGATGAATACTACGTAAATGCCTTAAATGTTCCTTATTTTCTGCATTCAAACACGTGTAGTCTATAACATATAGCGTTCACATTTTACAATTTTTATACTTTCAGTAATTCAATAATTTGTGAGAACTATTCTAATTTTGTTATACGTATTATTATTATTATTATGTAAAAGACTAAAAACACCTAAGATTTTATTATTTAGTAAATATTTCTCTTTCTCTTTTCCTAAAGAGTTTTATTAATAATTTATATAATATAATGTTTCCCGAGAGTTTAACAGACTATATTCTACTTTGCTGGAGCGGTCGAGAGATAGAAATATGGTATTAATGGTCGGCAGGAAGAGCCTGAGAACGTAACATTTTGTCGATGACACTCACGGCACGCAGAGGGAAAGAGAAAAAGAGAGAAACGTGACGGAGTTCCCCGTCGCCTTCGCGCAATTACATCCAATTGAAGCAATTTAGACCAATTGAGCGTTAACAGGCTCAATTGGCGGGCCCCGACGCTGCGGGCAGCACCGCGCGTCATTAAACGCTCGACATACCTACGACGTAAAAAATATAGATAACGTGCAGAAAAAAAAGAAGCCCAATGTTCAGAGGTCAAGCCGCATCCGCGTCTCTCTCTTGCGTTTCTGACGAAGTTTCTTCTCGCGACGCAAATTGCTCCGACTTCGTGTCTGTAATTTGCGAAATCTCGTATGCGGTCCAACTGGATTCTGCATACGAACTTGATATTGTCGTAATCAATCAATCCATATTTTATTACAATTGTAATCATTATTCAATTCTTGGTATTTTATTAAAATTACAAACTCCTTAAAATTACAATTGTGATAAAATATCGTAACGTTGATTGATTCCTCCGAGTCAATCTTATATTCAATATTTCGATTATTGTAATTATTAAAAAGAGGATGATTATTATATCCATTGTAAATTTTTCGGGTATATTGCAGATAGCCTTAAGTATGCGAAATGTGTGTCAAATCTGTGAACAAATTAATATATAAAAAACCACAAAAATAAAATGTAAAACGAAAGAAATTATCGTATAGTTATCAATCGTATTTTATATCCAACTGTCACCTATAGTTATATCCCTAATCTAATTATAACAGCTATCTATATTTTGAAGTTTGATTGTTTTCAACAGCATCACTTGCACCTCTTTTTACTAATGCTTCATTATATGTGCAATCATTTGATTTTTAATGCAAAAGTATTACACAGTGTAACCAAAAGAATAGATCCTAGAATAATCTACAAGTCCGCAATATCGAAAGCTTATTCGACACCGAGCTTGAAAGCAAAGAGTAAAGTAGCAAAGAGGTGGAGTTGAAGAGGCCGAGCCTCCCCGCGTGAAATAGAGGGGCATCGACGTATCACGCTCGTCTTCTTCTCTTATCTCTTTTCAGATTTCGTCCAACCGCGTTGCAGATAGAGTGGGGAACAACTCGTGTCTGCTTCCCTACGCACTACACATCGGTTCATTCGTTTTTCGTATTCCGTCCGCCTGTCTCTTTCTATCCAAAATTTTTATTTATATAATTATATTGAAAGCGAGAAATTTAACGGATAAAAATCCTACACTGCCTGCCATTTCAAAAAATAATTAATTTTCGGAAAACATTTCTAAAAATTTTAAAGTGCGAACTAGTAATTTTATAGTTGTTGCACATATCTCATAAAGAAAAAATTTCAAAGATTAAAAAAATATTTAGAAAAACAATCACATTTGGTTCCTAATTTTCTACTTTCTAGCTCTATCAAAAATTCAACCGTATTTTCTGTGCACAAATATCCATAGTTCACAATTTACATTTCGCACGGATAACGAGGATAATGTTTGCTCTCTTCGTCGCTGTTAGTGGCTCGAAGTCGCGCTTCCGGTGCGCGGCACAGCGCGAAAGCATGAAAACGTGATGGCGGATAACCGCGACCGAGAGAAATCACTTCCGCTTCTGTTCGCGAACTGGCGAATCTTCTTCGGTGTTCTTCTCCGATCTCCGCTTCGAAACTTGAGCACCTAATCCGATAATGCCGACAACAATGACGGATGCGCGTTATTGTAGGTCATGTTTACTTTGCGAGAGGAACAAGATGGAGGATACGCGGATGCGAGAGAAAGTCGCGGATGCGGAGGGTCAGTGCAGGAGGCTGCGTTACACTGCAGCCCGGCGCTCACCGGACCTTCACTTATATCGTCGCTCGGCTAATAACGCTAGTAATGTGATATGATTAGCTTAGTTGAGTTCAGTTTAGTTCGTATTCGTTCAATTTAGTGGTTCGCCAGCAAAATCACATCGAGTTAAACCCATTTAGGCCAGTTAAGTTACCGACTTCTCCTCGTTCTCTTGCGGCCGTCGCCGTCGCGCGCCGGCCTCCTGGGGCCCGATACTCCGCGACGCATAGAAATACTCCAAAATATCCTAGGACATCCTGGTCCCGCATGAGATCCAGCCACGTCGCCGCAAAATTGGAAATTAAGTCGCTGCAGGAGGTTCATTGTGAAAGCACCTCATCCATCACACCGAGTCGAAGATGCAATTAGTTTTCCAGACCTGAAATCATAATCTAGAATAAAAAACGCGACCTGGAGTCTGTCTTGAAGTATAATCTACAAAAAGAGAGAGAAATACGCTATATTTTATAATTTTTATAAAAAATTTCTTTTTTCATAAATAATTTTTTATATTTTATAATTTGTAGACAAAAATAGTCCATGAAGGATATTCCTTCTTGGCAATACATAGCTGAAGTAACAAAGATTATTAGTCCATGAAGGATGATATTTCTGACAAATTTTTGTAAGAAATAATTTGTTTGGTGAAATCACAAAAGCAAAACGATCACTTAGAAATTAATAATTATAACTTCTAGATGCTTAGATCAAATTCTAAGCAACCCAAGTGTTTACCTTCCCCGTGTTAAAATGATAGACTAATCGTGATGACGCAGTTACCCGCATTATTGCACCTTCACTCAAAAAGTTTTATATTAATTACTGTATCCCCCATACTGTCAATCCCGTTCCGCGATAAAAATGATAGACGTGCGTACTTCGTTGCATTAAAATAGATATTACAGCTAAAAATTAAGATAATTATTAAAATAATAGTAAGAATATGGTTAAACGATTAAATTTCAGAAAGAAGCGAATAAATGCCGTAATAATATGTATCTCTTAAAAAATTTTTTTAATTTTTTTAGAAATACATTTCTTAACAAAACAATCGATAAGAAAATAAGAAAATAAATCCAATATTTTTGGAATTATTAGCGAAAAAAGTAACAAAACGATCGAGCGAGAACAAGATGATGCTGAGAAGATGATTAAGGTCGATCGGGAGCGGTGATCAGATTGGAGAGTCAGAACGGAGAGCGCAATGAAATTGACGTGTATATAGGCGCGCGCTAATTACAAATGACGAAAATTAACAGTTAATATACGCGCGTACACGTACGGGGAACGGGGGGTGGTTTGATTGGGCCAATTCGAGGCAATTCCTGGCGATTGCTGATTTCATTGAGCTTGCGCTTAAGAGTGCTTGGCTCAGTGCCGCGCCAACTGCCGGCCAACAGACATGGATCTCTTTTTCGAGGCAACGAAAATACCTTTCGCGATTTTCGCATAACAATCGGTTGAGTTCCGATGCGACGTGTAGGTCTCTCATTCGCGACGATTTTGTGCGGTACCAACTTTATCTATCTTATCGAATCGTTTAGAGCCAGGAAGAGTCTGTTTTACGAAAGGACTATGTGATTTCTGATTCATGTTTCGTTTGAAAAAAGAGAACTAAATTAAAAAGAAAGTGTAAAGCAAAAATTAGATTGGAAAATAGAAGGTGCGAAACAAAAAAGTCGCGAACTTACTTACAACGAATAAAGTATATGTATCTGAGATGCTCTTTTAACTCAGTGATAGTGATTCGCGCTTACATATCAATCAAAGGGACACACAGAGATTTAAGTGGCAGAACGTTAATCAGCAGATGGTTTACATATTTCTCGCGACAGAGTGTTGCACCTGAAAAATTTGAACAGATTAGAGAAATAGTATAAACATCAGAAAAAAGAGCGCAAAGCTGAAAAATAATGATAAGGTAAGATAATAAATCTAACTTTGCACGCTATATATCAATGCTTTTTTAGATAATTTGCTTCATATAATTAATATAATTAGTTACATTAACATAATTTAATTCTTTATAATTGTTCCCATCTCTGCGAGTGAACTTGTCGGAATCTTCCATAAAACATAGACTTATATTTTTTCAATATAATTCAACAAATACTTTTACTTAATCATTTCTTAATTATCGAGTCCACCTGACGTTTTTAATTACAATTCGGAAATTTGTAGCAAGCAAGTAGACAAGAAACAATTAGTGGAAAAAGAACAGAGAAAACAAACTCGCTCATTCCCACGAGGGCAAGTGACTTCTCTCCATTTCTATTCCCACGAGCCTAACGTTAACCCTCGCGGATGTTCGCACCCCGTATCATCCACCCCCATTCGCACTAGTATCGTGCAGACGAAAGGTTTTTTTGCGCGCAGGTCGGGGAAGGGCGGTCGTTTGCCGATCGCGGGGACCCGCGGTGGCGGGGGCAGCGAGGAAACGATGGCGGTGGACCGCGAGAGGCAGCATCACCGCGCCCGCATGAAGCCAGGATTGGCCGGGCCCAAGGTGTGGGGGCGGCCTGGGCCGGCGTGCCTCGGAAAATATAAGCCTGTGTGAGTGGTGGTTGATTAGCCAGAGGCTCGGGACGGAGAGTAGTGGCGAGAGTGTCCAGACGAAGAGAAGAGAGGAACGGACGTTCTCGTCAAAAGGGAGACGACGTCGTCGTCGTCGTCGTCGCCGTAGTTCAGTCCAGTCTTCCAAGGTCTGGCCACGAATAATCGGCCGGCGCATCGCCGCGAGTTAACGCCGCTTAAAACTAATCAAAATTAATCATAACCCGGGCAACAATTGATCGCAATTGCCGCGCGCTCTCCATTACGGACAATCGGGCAATCGGCGGCGTCGCCTCTTCCTTTTTTTACTGACAGGAAGCAGGAAGAATCTCGGAAGAGCCCATCGATGATGAGAGCATGATCGACGCTGAGGTGTGAGACAAGAGTGGTCTCACCAACATCTGTTCTCGGATTTTAATTTAATCGAACGGGAATCGGTCGACGTCCTCGATGAAGACGTGAATTCATGAAAAACATCCAGAAGAACCTTCACTGAAGATAATAGAAGTGATTTGTGAAATATTCGTCATGGGAGCTTAATTAAAATATATAAATTAACATCAAGACACACACTCAGTGATTACAATATCAGATTTGCAGACAAAATGGTGACTATTACGAGTCAGATGTAGAGATGTGAATGAGAATAAAAAAGTTAATATAACAAAAAAACCAGTAGATAACTCAAGATTAATTGAATTGAACGTTTCAGAAAACTTCTTCAATTTTCCATCTCGAGACAAATAGTGTTACATTTTATTAATCAAGAAGAATATCGTACGTTTTTACAAAAGAATAAACTGAGTCAGTTAACTGAACTATTGATGCAAAACTGTCGTATAAACTTTAGAATTGTACATATCATCAGAGACATTGACAAAGACGAAAGAATAGAAATCAAAAACGTCTTTAAGTCATATTGCGAACTCTTCTGTTTGAATACTTATATATTCATTTAAATAGAAGCGCATTGACTTATAGTTGCCTAAAAAACTACTCAAGATGGACGGCGCTCCCTCATGGGACGACCCGATTTTTTCGGACTTTGGGGCTCGTGGTGGAACTACCGGGGCCCACAGCATCCAAGTGATGCTGAGTCTACACGGAAGCGGCGGTCATCACGCTGGCAGCGACCTGATGCCGACCGGTGGCGGTCAGCTTCACAAGCTCGATTCGTCTAACAGCCCGTCGCCGCATCATCAGGCCGCGTCGCAGCATCAGCATCATCTGCAGCAGCAACAACAGCAGAAGGAGCTCAAGGAGCTCGAGTTGTCCGGCATGTACGCGCCTTTGCCACCACAGACTCAGGACGTTACTACTTCAACGTCGACAAGTGTCACGCCGACTTCGACAAGTCTGCAGCAAAGTTTGCAGCTCGGCAACGCGCTCAAAAGGAAACCAGACGATCCGATCAACGCACTCGCGCCAGGTAAAATCTCTTTCTCTTGCTTTAAGACACAATATCGCGCTTTTTCTTTGTTTTCCAATAAATTATTTCAATTTTTGCAAAAATTTTCATAAATGTTACCGTAGCTAATAGTATTTCACATTTAAACTTCTCATTTCCTTCTTTTCTAGAAACGTTTTTCGAAATTCACAATTTTATAATTGACAAACAAATATTAATTTTGTAGTTAGCAGCGAAGCGCAGCCAGCTAAAAAAGATTCGAAGAAGAAGACTGACAACAACAATATTAAGAAAAAAAAGACGAGAACAACTTTCACGGCTTACCAGCTTGAAGAACTTGAGAGAGCTTTCGAACGTGCGCCTTACCCAGATGTGTTCGCACGTGACGAGCTCGCGATGAAGCTTTCCTTGTCGGAGACTCGTGTGCAAGTCTGGTTCCAGAACCGTCGTGCAAAGTGGCGAAAGAAGGAACCGCCGCGCAAGACCGCTGGTTACATGGCCGCAGGATCTGCCAGTCCTGGTCTATCAGGTAAACTTTCATCCCTGTAAACAAGTTACTTTGTTAGTATGACACGATCTTCAATCATAATCTAATAAATCTAAAAAAATCTAAAAAAAGTAAAAAAATAAAATTAATGAAAATCAATAAATATAAATTTTGAAGAAAAATATAGAAATTTAAATACAATCAAATTAAGCATTAATTTATATAAGATTAAAACTATATGCAAAAAATAATTTAAAAATACATCTCTGAACTGTTCTTAAAATTTTATATTTTATAAGATTTCCGCTATATTCCAAGAGATCTCGTTTTCACATTTCTCTCCACACTTGCAGGTTCCTTCACGTCGCTTAACAATACCTTGAATCCATTCGCATCACCGACGACAGCGACGGCACCGCCAGATGCGTGGGCATACTCACCGGCCGCGTACGATTTGGCGCCGCACTTGAATCTACTCAGCCCGTCTAACTCGCCATATTCAACCGCGGCAGCAGCGGGCTTCGGCAACAACGGCAGCGTCTCATATTCGTCGTATGCGAGCATGCTGCCGACACAGCACGACGCCGCGTTATTCTCCACACCGGCGGCCGCCGGCAACACCATGCGCGTTCACCAGGACTACATGAACCCCGGTGGTGGCAGCAGCCCGCCGCCTCCCGGTGGTCCCCTCACTCGCGCTGATTATCAGACTATGGTGACGACGCATTCACCACCCACTCATCTGGGAAACTCCATGTCCGAGGACGAGCACGGCGGCTGCCTCGCAGATAAATATGGGCACGAGCAAACCACGGCCGACTACGGCCAGCAGCAACAGCAGCAACCGCCGCCGCCCGATCAAAAACAGGATTATGGAATGCATTCACCGCAAGCACGCCAGGCTATGAAGGACCAAGTAATGGTCAAGAGCGAACCTGGCAGCCAACAGAGTTACGTGCAGCTGCCTCCTTTTCTGAACTGACTCGCGGCCTCCTCCGCTCTAGATCTCTTCTAGGCGACTTCTGCGATCTGTCCGTGTCTCGTAAGGAGCGCGAGGAGTATTAGATCCTGAGACACCGTTATTCCGGCTACACTCGTGTAACCAGTTTTATTTAAATTGTAGCTCTCTTCCTAAAAAATATGTATTGAGTAAATTGAAAAATTTGCTGATTAGATTACTTTTCCATGTATGTGTATACATGTTTCAGTTGACTTTAAATAATCAAAATTTGCAACAGATTTGGATCAGAATTTACACATACATCAGAAAATATTATACATCGGAATCTCATATACGTATATGGCTTACATAAAATTATAAATAAAATTCTGTCTTAAATCGTAGACCTTTTAACTTAAAAAAAACAAAAAAAATGTACAAATTTTTAAATTAAATCAATGAAATAAGGTTATGGTTGGTATGCAAAGTATTGAAAATAGTATTTAAATTAAAAGTTTTAATAAGATTCTGATCTATGCAGCACTTCAATATTACGAAAAATGAGAAACAATCCAGGATCGAGCATGAATATTTGCGTTATAACATGCGCAACATTTTTTTGTACTTGTTGCTCGAGTGATCGCGAGAAATTGCGTCTCGTCGCTTTACGCATAAGTAGTCGATGAAACACATATTATGCATAAATGTACCGAAAAAGAGGATATAAGACATTCTAAGATGTGAAATATCTTATTTGGAGAGAAAAGGTAGAAGGATTTGAAGAAGGTAGTACCTTGGATACTTGGATAAATTCTCGTGCGTTACGCGCGTCGGAAAGAGAGAATCGTTTGAAAATTGATGCGTCAGTCGCTTTGAGTGACATCTCGTGGTAACTATAAATATTTGACAGTCGTTTGCTTCCTCTCGATTGATAAGAATGTGAAATATTCTGAAAAATATTTTTAATTATACTATAGATATATTTAGTTAATGAGAAAAACTCATTATATTAGATTTGTAATATAATTTAACACGGTATTTTCCGTGCCTTGAATAATCAATGCCTTACACAGTGCCTTTGTATTAGAAAAAGTGAATCTTAATCGAAATAAATTTCGCTTTGTATCTCGCAATATCTCATAATTTCTTTGTAAAAATAATTCATAATATACGAGGAATGACAAAAATCAAAATCATATAAAAATAATTTTTACAAAATAACAAAACTAAAATAATCAAGCTTTGTAACTTAATCTCGCTATCCACGCAAAAATAATTTATAATAAACGAGAAGTTACAAAAGTAAATCGGTACATAAATATTTCTTGCATTATTTTTCATTTAATATCGTTAAAAATGTACTATATATATATATATATATATATATATATATATATATATATATATATATATATATATATATATATATTACTATATTATAGT